GCTCTGTCAGGAAGTTCTTCCTAATGTTTAGCCGAAAACTCTTCTGATTTAATTTCAACCTGTTGGTTGTGGTCCAACTTTCTGGGGTAACAGAAAACATTTAAATATTTAAAGCTGTCATCATTCACAAAAAGCCTGAAATCCCATTGAAGTTCCACTGCACATCACTGCAACCAAAGAAATTACTGTAAGGGACATTAAAGGAAGCAGTCAATATAGGAAAATATGGCAAACTTCCGAACAATAGCTTTTCATTGTTGGGTTTTAAAAAGTGCTTGGATGAGCATCCTCTATATCAACAAAGATCTGTGCTTGATATGCAATGTATTTCTAGCTTGTATGTCTTGTTAATATTACTCTATTTGATATGTTAGATATATAATATAGTATAAACCAGTGATTCTTTGTTCAGCCTAGTGGAAGTATGCTGGTATGCTGGTTTATATGAATTGGATCTGTCCCATTCAGTCATTGTCCCATTCAATCATTGGGTGGATAGTCCTATTCTTGTTTTTGCTATCTGTTTGTGAGAACCTTCTAAAGGTCTCAAGTACAGTAGAAGTATGTATGCTAAGATGAACCCTAGAGTCAAATGCTGAACAGTCAGAGGCCTCAGTCACACCATTCAGTGAGTCTATGGTTGAGTTTTTCCAACCAAAGTCAGATTCTTCAGGGTAAGATAGCATGTAACCAGAAAGTGTTGGAAAGTTTTTATGGAAAGCCAAGTAGAGTTGGTGAAAATGGAAGAATGAGCTAGGTGGGGAAAATTGGGTTAGGCAGATGAGCACTTGAGGCTGGGTGTCAGCCCGCGGTTGTGCGGATAGGGAAGCTGGATGGTGGGTCAGGTCCAGGGTGGAGTGGGAACAAAACGGTACCAGGCTGGCACCTCAGAATTTGTTGGAGTAGGTTACTTCACCTTGTTTCCCCAGCCGGCGTCCCCCAGGTAGAAGCGTGCAAGTGGGTGGGGCTCTTGCCCAAGTCTCGCTCCTCACTTCTAAGCTTCAGGTTCTAAGTTCTAAGGTTCAGACCAATCCTCCCTGGCTTCTGCCTCCCGGTTCTTTATTGTTCCCCTCCATCCCCGCCCCGCCGCCCACGCCTTAAAGCAGCCTCACCATGGGATTACATCTGGTAGGCTTGGGTCCCATTCTGAATTTTCCCCATCCTTAACTTTCTCGATCTGGCCCCTGGTGGCCAGGCTAGCTAGCACTCCTTCCCTGGCTTCACGCTTTGGCTGCTGGACATCCCTGCAAGGGATGGCAGGGCAGGATCCCAGGCCCCTCGGGTAACCCTCGTAGGGGTTCCCCTGTCGGCTGGTGGTGGAAGGTTGGCGTCCCTGGGAGCCACTCCCAGCCGTGCTCACAGAAGCTCTGCTGTCACCAGTCCCGACTCCCCCGACTCCCCTCTGGTCTCTGGACGGGTTGGAGGGCTCTCTCTGGGGAGTCAGGAGGGGGCCAGCCTCGACCTCCTGACACTGGGTGAGATTGTTGAACATTGAAAAGGGAGTAACATTTTGGTTTTATGAAGATCCTTTCCGATCTCTTCAGCTTTTAGTTTTATGATGATCCCTTCAGATGGGTTCAGAAACACTAAAGATCTACGGTAGAATTAGTGTTGTTGTTGTTTTTTATGGGGGAGGAATTGTCTTTGAGATACCAACTTTCTTCTGTGATAATGAGGCAGTTCCAGTGAAAATTTCATATCTGATTTTCTTTTTGAAATATTATATTTTATTCCAAGCATACATGACTGGTATATCAGTAACTGTTCACAAGTAACAGCGAATGCATGTACAATCCGTATACTGTGTGCACGTGATTGTTCTTTAAACACACGTTGAATAATTCTCATGTTATATTCTATTCAACACATAGTCGTCCGAATGTGTGACTGAAACCCCACATTTATCCAGCTTCATTTGTAAAATGAACGTGTGTTGGATCTGTCTTACAAACAAGTGTACGCATGTACATGCGGGTTGTACATTCTTTCACTGTAAAATGTGAGTCATGCTTATATTCCATGCCATTCGTGTAGACATGTCCTCCTTCATGTAGCATCTTTATCACAGATATTATATTGGCTGTAAATGATCTGTGGGTGCCTTCAAACCTGATGTGAAAGGTGGCTCACATATTCCTGAAATCTGGGATGTGGGGGTAAGCTCAGCTCAGTTACTTGCGCCCTATGCTACTGCTTACTTAACATTCATATGATAATTTAATCAAGAAAACTGCCTTGCAATTTTAGCTCATTCAACATCACAAAGAGCCCTGAGGCATGCTGTTTCAGTGGTGTAATTAACACTGAATGAACCTTCTGGGGTTCGTGGGGATTTAATCCAAGGTCTCCCAATAAGCCATCCATTGAATGACATATTCACATTTATGGTGATAAAGACAGGATGAAAATGTATTCATAAATATTAAGGAAGTAAATCAGCCACATCAGGCGCTGCTCATTTTCCATGGCGATGAAATATCCAAGTGTATGTGGAAATTGACCCAGTGTCTTCAGCCTTTGTCAACTCAGAATGTAATGTGAATGGGTATTCTTGCTTATGCAGAACTATTATATTCCACTTTGTTGACTGCGAAAGGAGCAGCAAATGCTGACCAAATTCACCTCACATGGTTTGAAGACATATGGCTGGGGGAATTAGCTCATTTCTCATTGTATTTCTTTCCTTTCAGTTGGAACTTCTGGAAGCTGAAAACCACACCACTGCCGTGACAGGGCCCCCTGCCGGTGTAGCAGCCACAAGCCAGTGCCACTGAGTGGCCACACTGTTTGCAGTGGGGATCTTTAGGAAACTGATTTTCCTCTCCCTTTCCCAACCAAAGGCAAGTGCCTGTTTTAAGATCCATCAGAATGATTTGCCTAAATGGCAAATTTCCACGATATATTTCATAAGCAAGTTAACAAGGTGGTCATGGGAATGCTACACTCATTCTCTACTGAACTAAAAGATAGCCACAAGAAATATACACGGTTACTGGGACTGCCCTATACAATATCCAGCATACAGAATAAAATCTCCTCAAAAAAAGCAAATATTCACAATACAGGACAATGCTACCCTAACAGCAGTTACTACTTAATGAAAAAGAGCAGTAGTATATCCAGTGCATTTGTGTACCATAGTAAAAGGGTTTCAAAGTTCGTTTATATGTAAAGTTATTTTGTTATGCAGGATTATTTTCCATAGAAATATTGCCAGCACACCTTTCTCAGTGAAAAAAACAGTGCACAAACTGGCTGCAGTAACATTTCCAAGCTACCTCTGAGATACAGAAAACAGTATGTTATCTTATCTGAGACCGAAATCCTCTTTTGTTGAAGAGATCCATTTTACTAGGATCAAAAATTCATTCATGCAGGAATGTGAATAGAAGGGAACTGCCTGTCCATATTCTATGCTCAGTTAATGTCTCCTCCTTCTGTACATAGTTACAAAAAATAGCTGAACAATAAAATAATGGAATGTTCCTTTTGGGTAGCTGTAAGTATCAGCTGGCAAAGTTTTGATGTTATTTCTGATTTTCTTTATCAAAAGCAGAGAATAACTGTTATGTTTTGTAAAGACCATTGTGAATACTTGTATAGTGTTAACAGTACAGCAGCAAAATATATGGTGATGTATTTTTAAATAAGTACATTCATTAAACTTGCCTATATCCAATATAACTCAGACAGCTCTTTTGGTTTTGAAAGCTCTTTGTATATTTAAATGATAAGAGATAACCTACATTTATATATTATTTCACTGGTCACAGATGTACAATAATTTATGTAAGTGTATTGGTGTGTGTATGTATGTAATACCATCTGTGAAATAAATTAAGCATTACTAAGTATATTTAGAAAACTGATTTACTACTTAAGCAGCAAGAAATTGCAAATTTCTTTGACAATTAAAGGAAAGTTTTATTTATATGCAAAGTCATCCTATATAAGGTTTCTGTTCCATTTAACAATTGCCTTCAAGTAGCTAACATAATTAACAGCTTATGAAAGCATATTCTGTCAACATAAAAGCTATCTTGTCTCTGGCATAAGCAACAATAATAATCGTAAAGGTAATTTGTAGCTGTATCACATTTTCTACTTGCTGTTCAGCAGATGCTCTGTAATTAAATGGTCAACAGTTACCCAGAAAGCAAAAAGCACTTTGATGAATTTGTGTGCATCGTAAATAAATGCATTCCCATTGCTTTCCCTTTTTTCACCTTCTAGCACTGCATTCCCATGGCTGCTTTGTTCTTAAATTATATAGATAATGCTTGCCTTGTGTAAAAATATTTTGTCATGACAGAAATCCACTTCATGTGTAAGTAAAGTGGTAATGCTTGTTTAAAGGTAAATAAGTGGCATCTTTACATTTTGTGTCCATGTGTATGAGAGATTTGCAAAATATGAAAAAGTGCCTTATGTCTCAACATTCTCTTGAAATCATGCTTTTTGCTAACTCTTATAGATTGTATTACTGAGAGGATGATTTTAGTAACTTTAAAAAAAAAAAAAATAACCAAAATAAAGCAATACAACCAATCCATCCCACCAACCACTGGCTCTTCAGCCAGCCTCTGACCTAAACTGATTCCTATTCTGTCTCTCACCCTTGCATCTGTTCTACTGGTTCTCCCAACTAAACCACCAGCAAGATCTTGCTCAGAGGAAGAATGGCAGCAAAATTAAGTGACATCCACTCAATATTTTTGGTCTAGAACAAAAAGAAAAGGCTCTGGGTAGTCTGAAACTTCACAATTTGTTGGAAACAAGTAGGATTTTACCTGTTTAAAGACACACTCTGAACCATTATTATTAGACTTAATGAGTTTCAAGTACATCGTATTTCTAGTCAATGGCTGCTTCTTTTTCTTAGTAGTCGCTTCTTGTTCCCTGTGTGAGGATTTCCCCTTCCTTCTGAAAAATTACCAAATTGAGGGGGAGGGGACACTGGTCTCCTATAGTGTTGCCAGCCTCCAGGTGGGGTCTGGACATCTTCTGGAATTACAGCTCATCATCATATAACACAACAGTTCCTTTGGAGAAAATGGCTGCTTTGGAGGGTGGACTCTATGGAATTATATACCAACAAGGTATATAATTGTCTTCCCAAACCTTGCCGTTCTCAGGTCTAACCTCCAAATTTCCAGGTATTTCCAAACCCAGAGCTGGTGAACCTATGTATGGAGTGACCTTTCTGCTGTCCCCAATGGGATAAATAGCAGCTGTTGAAGGAGAAGAGGGTAGGAAAAGGTTAAGTTACCTGTTCTTTATACCATGGTCCCTGCCCATATTGGGAAGCTTCACAGCTGCTATTTACAATTTTTTTTTAAACTCCTGGGAGATCCATTAAGAGATATCCCAGCATCTTGTCTAGTTTGGACTCAAGTTCAACATGAGTGCTACCCTTGTCTTAATTTTCCCTTGCGTTCTAAGAACCCCTCCTCTTTCTCTCTCCGTTGTAGGTGGACAGGACCCAATTGCTGTTCAAAGCAAGAGAATCTGGGGGGGGGGCCTCAGGAGAAGAGGCTCAATACAGCCTACAAATGAAATAGGTTATTTCATGTTGTTAAAAATGTCTACAAAGATGAATCCCAGAAGACACAAGTAATTAAAACTAACACTGTTCATCATAATCCCATGATTTTTTTTTACAAGGATAGATGAAGAGGAGGTATATGTCTGTCCACACACAGGAATACAGTGGGGGCATACTCACAAGGCATCTACGATTGCATACACTGAAAGTGTTCACAATTTCTTCACTTCATATATTACAAGCAGGAGCTCAAGCGTGAAGGACTGAGAGCAATAAGCTTGTCTGCCTGAATTAGCCTTGCCATTAAGAATCAGGGCACAGGAACAATATGAAAACTTAAAGGCCTAAGCTTTGCAGGGCAAGATATAAGTGAACATTTCATAAAACCTCAGGAGAAACAATGGCAGGCAATGCAAAATTAAACTGCAGTCCTGAGCAACCAGGTGTGCACACCAGGGCAGAAGCCTGCCGCATAGCCCAGAAGATTTATTTATATGCTAAATCAAAACTCTGGCCCATCAATGTGGAATAGATTGCCACTACTACCAGCCAGATTCTAGACCTTGAACAATAGAAATTAACAGGTCTGCGCGAAGCATTTTCAAACTCCAGAAATTGAGAACTCCCAGCAAGGAAAGACACCATTTCTCTCTTCCTGCCATAACAGTCATCTCTGTCCATTCCTGACATATGGAAAGGACTATTTCACACAGAGCCTTCCCCATCTATGGAAGCAGGGTCAGCTTCTTACTAGTGGGAGGGTGCGGTTCAACAGATGTAGGTAGGAGAACCTAGAGACACCTGGACATATGAAGTTGCTTTATACCATGTTAAACCAGCATGGTCAGTATTTTCTTCTCTAACCAAAAGCAGCTTTCCAAAATCTCAGACAGAGGTTTTTCACATTGTCTATTACCTGATTCTTTTAACTGGAGGTACTAAAAATTAAGCCTGGGACCTTCTGCATGCAAAGCAGATGCTCTGCCACTGAGTTATGGGCCCTCTCCAAGAGCCTCCTTTCAGTTTCAAGAACAGGAACCTATTTCTTTTCTGTAGTAATCAAATCCTGCCAGTCATTGGCTGGAGGTTGAAAATGAAAGCAGCAAGTACACATACTTCCATATTATCTGAAAGTCATTTTAAGTCTCTTAGAGGTAGATTCTAAAGAATTCTACTCACAAGTAAATAATGTATTATTCCTAGGAATGTGTCCTTCCAATCATAGCTTTACTTGCTAGCAGATTGTCACATTAATATTTGTGTTTTTTTCCAAGTATTTATTTTCAGTTTACATTGGTAGTATCCATTCAAATATTTATCACATCTATACAGTTGTCTAATTCCCCTTTGTTTTATTAATCCAGTTATATAAACAAGCCCATCTTTTGTGAGATAAATTATCATCTTTTCCTTGAAGTATTAAGTTTAGCTTGTCCATTTCCGCTATCTCTAATATCTTACAGACTACTTCTTCTCTGGTGGGAAGTTCTTCTTGTTTCCAATATTTGGCTATTAGCATTCTGGCCGAAGTTAATATATATATTATCATAAATTTATCATTCCCTTTAAAACAGTCCGGAATAATATTTAACAGAGCCATTTCTGGTGACAAACATACATTAGTATTCAATATTTCTGATATTAATTTTTGTATCATCTTCCAATACCTCTGTACTCTACCACAACGCCACCACATGTGGAAGAATGTTCCAACATTAGATTTACATTTCCAACAACAGTTAGATAAAGAGGGGTTACATTTAGCTAATCTGCCTGGCGACCAATACCAATGTTGGAAAACCTTATAGATATTTTCTTTGTAATTAGTAGCTCTCATACATTTAACTGATTTCCATGTCTCTGCCCATGTATCTATATGAATAGAATAGCCCATATCTTTCATCCATGCCACCATTGTCGAACTAACTAATTCGTCTTGCATATATTCTTCTAACAAAAATTTGTAAAGTTTTTGGACCATTTTATCGTTTGTGGGTAGCCAGATTTTATCTAATTGAGTTTTAGATTCTTGAAACCCCAGTATTATATCTTTTGAGTATCTAGATTGAAGTTGTATTTTTTCCCACCAACTTAATTTGATTTTATATAGGGATGCTAAGGTCTCATCTGATTTTAGCTTATTATTGCTATCCAGCAATATTTCATAACTTACTCTATCACATAC